GAAGAGTGAACATTGCAGTGGATACTGCTTGTATACAGATGTCTACTCGAAGGTCGGAGTAATCAAACGTATAGTTAAAACAGTAAACGAGTATTAATTTGATTTTTGTGAAATTAAATATCGATTGCTCTGTACGTGATACTCGAAATTTCATGTAGAGCCAAGCTCAATTGTGTGATTGACGACCGTTGTTTGGAAAATCTTATGAATCCTTGAAGTGTATCGCCGTACTAAGACGTCGCACTCGAGCTAAGACTACTTGGCTCGGCAGTTTGTCTACGAACGCAGTTTGAATACGAAATGAGAAACAAATTTACCCAACTTGGAAGCTTAGTCAATTAATTTTCCATCAAGCAATCCTTTCGATTTGTTATACATATAGGATAAGCCATAGTTAGCGTGATGGTCAAAAATGAAAATTTGAAAAAATTATGTACTTTCGAAGAGTTCATTGAAAAATGAAAATCCGGAAAATTGCGGCCCTCTAGATCCAACCCATTTGGTTCTACAGGGCCTTTAAGATGAATTTTTTTTCTGGTGATATTCGACTTATATAGAAAATATAAGCGGTTAATATGAAAAAATTGTTAAATCATAGTTTTTAATGTAAAATTTGATGTGGAATTCAAATTTGTCCTTGAAAATCATATTTATAACCTCAAAACCCATAAAAATGATAAAATAGCTGAAAAAGCATGAAAGTCCAAAAATAAATGTGTTCGTCTCCTTCAATTAAGCCAAAAGTGAAATCTTTTATTCAATACACCGAAATACAACTTTTCATACACTCTGATCATCGGCAGACAAACAGACTTAATTTTTGAGCTTCATATGAGACAAGAAAAAACGAAAAATAAGAGAAAAACCATTTTTCTTGAAGTAAACATAAACAACAATACGTAAATATAAACAAAAAACGTAAGCAAAAACAAAAAAACGTAAACATAAACAAATTAACATAAACATAAACACAAGAAACGTAAACATAAATAAACAAACCAACTTTGGGCTTTTGAAAAAGTGTCATAGAAGGTCTCAATTTTTCTAAAATTTTTTTGTGACAAAGTGGACATCGAAAACAGCAAGTTTTTCACATTTGCAGAAAACACATTTTTTAGCCTTTCGACTTTACGGAGAAACTGCCATATATACCTAGTATATAGTAGATATTCGCTTACATGGATACAACTATGAACAGGTGAGTATATGGATAATGTATGGATATTCAAACTAAACTCGAGTGATCTGAGAGCAAGATAAAGATAGAGAGGCCAAGAGTGCATTTATAGCTGATTTTTTTTGTTGGTCAGGCGCATGCGTTTATTGGAAATGCTCAGTACAGGGCTAAAGTCCCAGAAAACGACACGTGTCGAGCTGATTGAACACGATGCAAGGGTTCGGGCTGCCAATTGGTATGGGTCAAAGTGCAGACAGTGACAAATCACCTCGAAGCAGCTCGCATCTTTCTCGATGTTCTGTGGCTATTATGTATGTGGTTTCTGCATTTGAACACACTGTTGAGCTAATGCTGATAAGGTGTGCCAATAGCTAGTAGTTGCTTGCCACATTAGTGAATGCTTAAATCGATCAGTATTCTGATACTACATACACTTTCAGGGCTTAAAGGTAGCTCAAAGTCAAAAAAATTTTATTAAAATAAGATTTTCTACCGTAACGAAAAGTTTCGTCACTGTCATGAAGCTAACACAAAAAAAATTGGAAATGAAAGAAAAATTATGCTGAACTGTTTATGCAGAGTAAGCTACGAGTTTTATCATCATATCTGAGGTCTTGACCGTAACCATTCATGTCTTGCAGAAGTATACGCGACCCTAGTGTTGTAGCTTGAACGGGTTGCTCTAAATGTTGCGAGCGAGAAAGAAGAAGAAGAACATTTAATACGCACAGTATACGAAAAAGGTTCACAATTAAAATGGCTGCGTCTCAGTAAAAAATGAATTGTAAAAAATGCTATGGAAAGGAAAATATTTTCCAAAAATTGGATAACATATTTTTCGATTTTCAGATTTCTTTGAGCTCTTAAGACAACATCGTACAAGTCACAGGGGTTTTATATACAGATTGCTTTTAACACACCTGCGTTCGGCGAGCTCATTACCGGTCTTCAAGAGACTGCTGCGAGATTAAATGAGAACCCCACCCACTGCTCGTTAACGGCTACTGATTGTTTAAATCATGTACTGCTTCAATTTTCTTATGCATATTTTTTATTAATTTATGTATAATACTTTAGCTTTTACTCTTTACCACTTCTTAGTATACTGTTATTGTAATTTATTGCTATTTGTCATTCGATTGTAATGACCTTGACATTAATAAAAAATCATTGTCCCCCTTTCCTCGTTCTCCCTGCCTCTCACCCTCCCAAAATTATACCGATAAAAATGAAATAATTTGTGACAAAAAAATGGTTAAGTAGAATTCAAAGATTCATTTAGTATAAAAAAGCTAGGGTAATAGTTCGTACATGATAATGAAAAGCGATAGAAGAATGCAGCTAAATCGAATTTTCAAGTAAGCTATAAGGTGACGAGACAAATGCAATGATCCACACGGTTGGTACGAGTTAATTAGGCAAAAAATTATTTCAACGAAGAAGAGCAAGCGAAAAAAGTAATCCGATTGAAAGCGCGGAGGAGGGCACGACAATGCCAACGGAACATTCGAGATAAGCGAGCGAAAATGCCAGTCATCCCTTGGTAATTAGTCAAGACTGTTAGATCTCGATTTCTCGGCAGCTCGCGCGCGCGCAGGGATTCGAGAGCAACGTGGGTATATACATACATACATTGAAGAGGCAGTAAGGTTTGCAAGGGATTCGAGCACGATGATGCGATGCGCGACAGCAGCGGATTAAAGCCGTATCGAGGTTTACTGTATGTGCGTGTTTGTGTGCGTCTGGCTTACGATCGCTGCGATTTGTATGGGCGTCGCCTTACCATGCCATCGGTTTGGTATTGTCTAATTACAGAGGGTGCAACAGTCCAAGCTTGACGAGTTTATGTACCTATATATATACAGGGTTGTTACCTTTATTTAAAAATGCAAATTTCTGTGCTTTTAACAAAGTAACTTGTAAGATTAATTAAGTTAAATGAAAATGATAAAATAAAACTGCTTTTCGTTTTTCAAATAAACGCTAGGTACATTTGATTCTTTTGACGAGCTTCGCTTTATTTTCAATAAAACAAACAAAGCGATGCTAGCAAAAACGTAACAACCGAAAGCTTTTAGTCAACAAACGATTTTCCTCTTACGCATTCAATGATTTACCTTTTTTTACTTTAACTCGTGGACTCATGGATTTATCCTCACAGCTCAAGCGAACATCCCAATGGAAATTACTCCCGTACTGAGCTGCGATATCGAAGAAGAGCGAAAAGTTGGGGTGTCGCACCATGTACTAGAACTACTTGATTGATTAGCAGTAGAAAGAAGGCATCTTAGTGATGCGATTCGTATTCTCTCCATCTCTATTGTTGTGTTGTTGAGATTAGCGTCGAGAAGAGAAAGCAGAGAAAAAACAACCAGACGTTGGACAAAAAAAGTAAAAGGGAAAAACTTTTTGATGTATCACAATTTAATTATCAGACCATAATTGGAGAAACCTTGATTAGTAAACGAAGAAATACACACTTCAGCTAAAGCAGCGGAAATTGAGTTAGTTGAAATTTTTTTTATCAAGTGTTAGTTGAATGAATTATATACTCATGAAATAAACCATGTTATGAATTCCAAACAGATTCACCAAATAGAATCAGCCCGGACTTTTTAGCCAATTTCATAAATCAAGTCCCTGACAAAACGCTCCTCGCTTTACGACCCATCAAATTAAACGTCGTAGCCTAGCGCCGCATCTCAGCTCGATCCCGATATCTCGGTAAGATGCTTACGAGTTTGGCTGTGCGTTAAATGACGTCGACGGCGACGACGACGGTAGCTTGTGCATGATAAAAAAAAAGACGAAAAGAAAACGAAAGAAGATAATATGCGAGAAAACAAAGAGCCTATCATAAGCTTTTTCGTGAGTGATCTGGAGAAATTGGGCTCGACGGGAGTGAGGGCCCATAAAGCATAGTAGTTCGTGTCGCTCTTTTTCTCTCTCTCTCTCGTTCACGCCGATCTATTTTTATTACACGGGCAGTCAAAACAGCCTGAGCTCGCATGTGCTCGTCGGGAGTATAAAATCTTTATACACGCGTGAATCTCTCTTTTTACAAGCGTTCGCGAGCAGAGAGAAGAGAACAGGCAATTCGGATAAAAAAAAAATTGAACTACGCGATGTAAAACAACTGCATCCTAATCTGGCTTCGCACGAGAACTTTCAATTTAGAATTTTACGATTGTTGATAATAAGGGATCGAGGGTGGACCCAGGTGTCGCTTAGCAGCTCGCTCGATTTCAAGCGGTGCTCACGACGACGTACAACTATACTGTCTGTAAGCGTATATATCTATACCGTTTGGCTTGTGTATTTCTGGAGAGCATTGCAGGCCTTTTTGTAAACAACTCTAATGCCTGGTTACGATTTTGATGTGCGCAGCGCGAGCCACTTTATACTCTAAACGCCCTCGATGCCACGAAATGCGCGTAATCGCGCCCTCGACCAAGTCTTCTTTATGATATTGCTGGATTAGACGCAAATATTTCACACTTGAATGTTTCCATGTGTATTAAATTTTACGACGATTTCTCGCGACGTTTCAGCTGTGCTGCTAGTGACGATTTTTTTCTATTCTCAAATATTTCGGGTATTGTAATCATGTTCTGTGACTGATTCTGATCAAAAATTCCGTAATTGTACGTCAAATTAGATTGATATATCGTTTATAAAATCTGATCAATTTCGTTATATTATGTCTTTAGTATATAAACGAATCCATTTGTTTGAAATAAATCCAAAATATTAGTAAATATATGTTTTTTTTATTATTCATTCAAAAAAGAATTAAAAAATTAGTTTCACAAATATTGAAAATTTATTCTTCTGTTGGTTTTGGGTAACCGAATTTAATAGCTTCATCAAACATCGTTACGAGTGAATCCATAACTTCCTCACCATTAGGGATAATCTGATCAGCGGGAAGTAAAAATCCGTATCTACCTTTATCACGAAGCTCGTAGGTATATGTAACAGGCAGTTTGAGCGTAGCTTTAACCCAGTCCATAGAGTTTCCTGAGGCTACATCTAAAATTATGTGCCAATCGATTGTAATCACTTGTTCAAACAAATTGAATTTTTTCACATTTTTCTTTAAAAATTGGACAACACTTACAAATAGTTTCGGCAATATTTCCAGTTACGTATTTTGTTCCATATCTTTCAGCGAGGGCCCCAATGGCTTTCATGCCAATAGCTTTCTATTTGAAAAAAAAAAACTGTTATATTACGTCAACACTTAAAAATGTTGTTTGTTTCTTACCTCCTCTTCGTGATTGTCAAGGTGTTTCGTGGTGTGTCCGTAAGGGAACATTAACAGTTGAGAATAGCTGTGGAAAGAGATGTAAGCAAACAGTTTTCCCTTCAAACTTGTCAAGTACTGGGACAAAGTTTTTGTTTCTATTTCTGAAAATGGCCCTTTTCCGGCATAATCTTCCATACACGGGATCAAGCTAGCACCTCCAGCTAGAGAAAAAAATATTTTTTTCAGTTTAAAACTTTTAAGTACTTTTTTAATCATTGGTAACACGTACAGTTCCACATGAAACCCCAGTTACGATTAGCATCAACTCCTTTGCATAGTCCAGAGCCTGATCTTGTCTTACGCCATAATCGATTCTGGAATTCATACACATACATTCAATTAACTGAACTTTTTTTCATTAAATTATTTACCCTCTCTATCTGTCAAATTACTTTTTCGTGCGTATATACATATCCATCAGGGTTGACAGATGGGACCATGTACCAGTCATGTGATTCAGCCAATTTACGAATTTTCGAATCAGTACTGGTCAAGAATTGATCTATGAGGTACGTGACTGTTGCAGGCGAAATCCATTCTCGAGCGTGTATACCACCTTCAATGAAAATACCTGGATTTTTCGATCCATAGCTAATTTTTACACCCTTGATAGTACGGCCTTCATATGTCTTGCCAACCTCGATGATAGATACCTAATTTCACAATAAAGTTGTGTGTAAAATATAAATCTTTATCGACTAATGAAAATAATAATTTACCTACCACATCGGGGTATTGTTTTGTTAAAAGCTCAAACCATTGATATAATTCATCGAGAGTATGATACTTCTTGTGGCTATAGCCGATTTCCTCGCGGGTTACGTGAGGATTTTCAGTATCAATGAGACGTTGGACGTCCTCAATAAACTCCTCATATTTCATATGAGTGGATTCCATTAGCTTATAAAATGAATTTAATACTTCCTGTGATACCATGACGTCAACAGGTTGATTTACTTTCGTTGGATAAGTCCAGAAAGCATACTGTTACATAAAATTAAATATGAATATTATTCGCTTCAATTTTTTTAAATGATTGCTAATATTTTATATATATCTTAACTTACTCCGTTCTCCATAGTCAGCTGCTTTAAAATGTCGACATGCTCATCCGTTGATGGTACAACCCTAAACACTTTGAAGCCATCGAATCTTTCTTTGTCCGCTAATGAAAGTGTTGCCACGAGGGCAACCAGTAATAGTTTGATCCACATCTTACAACTACAAAAGTAATATAATACTCAAATATTGGCAGTCCTTGCTAGAACTTTACTTAAAGATTATTGTATTTGACGCTACCTGCAGCAATCGACCCTTCTTAGAAGTTCTCAGATACAACTGCAGTTGTCGATATTGTGTTTGCTTGTTTTTATATTGTATGCTATCAAACTTCGGACTATCAGTCGGATCGTGCATCTATGATAAGCTACAATAAATGAACCTGTCTTTAAGAATATGAAAAATATCGACGATATAATATATTTTCTTACAAAAACTTTCCAGATATTATTTTGAAAATGACAGCTCAAAAGGTCAGATTCAATTTTATTGAATTTTTTATTATATAAATATTATAAAAATTTTTTATTGAACAGTAAAATAGACGCTGTAAGTATTATAAATATTTAGAGAAATCAGAATATTAGGAACTAACATTTTTTAATAGTAATGTGTAAATCTTGTTTCGGAGGAAAATTTTTCCATTTAAGATAAATCAATTATAAAGATAATGAGCATCATTCAGTAATCACTACGAGTACTCCGCCATTTAAATTTATCTGTAAGATACTGTCAAGTAACGTAAACAACGAAATCACTCTTTAAATTTTATCATTGCATGAAAAAACAGATCAAATCAAAAGAAAATAATAAATCACGATTCTCGAAAGAGATTGTAAGCAAGCGCAGACTGTCCAATCAAATGCTCAAATGCATAGTTATCACTTGGCCATAGAGAAAAAAGCGCAAGATTCAAATAACACTTCTTAAAATCTCAATTTAACCACCATATGTTCAATAAAATTCAAATGTACAACGAGGGACCCGAATCCATCACACCAGGCCCTTTCGAGATAACGTTTAGACTGGTGCTTTGGCGTTCGATTCTCATGCTCCATGCCGGCACAGAGACACGATAGAAGCAAAGTCAGTCGTCGGCTGGTTGTCGTCGATAGCGGCATGAATAATTGCCTCGCGTACTCACTGGCCTTTCGCTGGCGGCGAGAGTAAATAATACATCATCTGACATTATCTAGCCTGGTGATGAGTTATAACCCAAGTTTGGTTGTAGACGCAACAAAACGCCTTCTAAGGGGGTAGATTCTAATCTCATGAACTCACTAGCTTTTGACATTATATTCGATTAGTTTTTTTTTACTTTAATTATGATAGTGACGAAGCCAAATAAAGCAAATGATTTATATACAATCATAAAATCTTTCAGATCGATACAAATAAAAATTGATATACTTTCAAAATCGTGAGTAATTTTACAATGTTTCATTCAACAACGGATCAGGATATTTGCGTATTGTACCTATGGCATAAAAAAGAGAAAAGTAGTGGAATCTCATGATACAATGTTGAACAATAACGTATTTCTATGTTCTGTATTATACCTGGAAATAAATAAAAATTTAAGCTCTTTTATAAATAGCCACGGCAAAATACATGAGAACAATTGAAGCTCCCGTGCGATCAGTCATCCTCGCTTTTTCTCTCCCGTCTCATAATCCACAAGCACGCATACATGTATAAACGCGGATACGCAAATTATTAAGCTACAATGTATAAATGTATGGAAAACGCACGTGACACGTACGAATATTTTCGCGTCTAGAAAATGAAAAATGTTACATCCAATTTCCCTGATGATGTCCCCGAGGGACGAACACAGCCAGCTCTTGCGTATACGCGGGCACATTTTTCCTCCCTTTCATTTTTCGTCACAGCGGCGATGCCCTTTTCCACTTTACCCATTTCCTACTCTCTTTCGAACTTGACTACCTACACCCACGTAATTTGGTAGGCAACCGTGAGTGAGCTACTTCAAGACGAAAAGATCATGAGATAATACTGCTGTATTTGCAACTAACCGGCCATCGATTGACATTATTTTTAATTTTTTGAATCGTACAAAAATATAATTTCATCATTGAGATAAATTTAGTTGACGGATGCATTGTTTTATTTTTCATTTCTGTACTTGTTGATCTATTTTCTCATGCTTACATTCATTCGTGCAATTAATTGAACTTTCATTCGCTCGATAATTATTGGCCTTTTTAATTTCATTATTAAGTTTTTAATTACCAGTGGAAAGCAAGCTCTTGTATGCGTGCGTTGGTCAGGTTACTCAATTACCCATCCCTCACTTTGTACTTTAATCTCGCCCCCCTCTCAGTATGCAAATGTATCGTACATTAGCGCATTACGTCGACCAGACGATGATATGTTGTAAGAAAAATGATACTTTTTGCCTAATTTCGAATGCATCGCTATTGTTTCGGTAGAGGAGCTTGCATTTCTTGATGAGTGTCGATGCTAATCATGGCTTCAGTATTTGCATTATTCAACAGACGCATCGATCGCTAGAGCTCGATTTAGATGCATCACATAATAGCGGAGGGATAAATATTAGAATCAGTTATTCTGCTTTCAACCAGATTCGTTCTCGGGCTAATTACTTATTATACGTGATACTTTTCAGAAAAATTCCTTTTACTTAAATGAATCGTGCGAGGACGTAAACCGCATCAAATAGGCTGCAATCCAGCGAAAGACCATGCTCGCTACGATCGCGTCTAAATAAATGGTCAAGCAATTCATTTAGTCGCATAAACAGCATTTATAGCTGCTGGATGTGCTCGAGGACCAATTATCAGGCTCAGCAGCGAGCGCGAAACTACCCTGGAGCTCAGGTTTTCGCGTATAATCCTGGCAGCGAGGCAGTGGCGGCGGCTTGCGCGCATTATTATAGTACGATTGCGCCAAGCAGGAAGAGCTTTTGGAATTGCGCGACATTAAACTCGGACTTAGCCCCGAACAATGAGTTGACAAATGGCAATGGGTCGCGAGCGAGCTTAAGCCGGACATCGGTTATTCGCTTCCTCTCTCGGCAAGACAGAGTACTTTAGCCGAGCAAAGTCGCGCTCGCACAAGAAGTCGATGAAGCTCTTAAAGAGGGTCGCCGCTGCTATCGCCGTCGTCTTAGAGAAATAGGCGCAAGCATATACGGATTATTCCAGGCGATTGATTGCAAGCTCGGCTGCTGCAGCAACGCGTTGAAGCGAGTCTTCCTAGCCGCTATAACGTATAACGTTAAGAGCGCGACGACATTATCATTGCCTCGTGTGAATGTTCTTCCGCGTGTATAAGACGCCCAACTTTGATCATTTGCATTTTCTTAATTGATGTTTACGTCGTTGTCGTCGCCATTCTGCTCGCACAGTACAACTCGTCTTTGCACTCTCCTTGTCTTCTCGATGACTGTCATTATTCCAAAAGTTTTGCATTTAGTTTTCATGCAGTAAGCGATTAATTTTTACTCATGCGCACACTTATGACATGCAAATACTTTGGAAATTCTTGTAGACTATAATGATGCTATTTTAATTCTGATATGCTCCCGTCTTATCGGATGAATGCTCCATGTTGGTTATTTACCTTTTGGTATTATTCGTAAAATTCTCAAAGTCTCGAGTATTTCGATCCTACTAAGCCGTTTTTGCGTCAGTCAATACGCAAGCCCTGAGGCTGTTATGTCTCGAGAAACAAATAGTCATATTTGTCGGTTATCAGAGGCTTACGGTAACGAGCCATGGCAGAGTTCCATCACATGGGGCACACCACCGATCATTTATAGAACCAAAGGGGTTAAAATAATGTTATAAAGCCTCTACACTCGCTAGCATACCCACCTTTTTACAGAAAAAAATTTAAAAATAACGCCTCAAGCTCTGAGGGAATTTCGATATATACTCAGCATCGTTCGCTGCATGATAAATAAACGTCTGCATGAGCCGCAGTACATACACCAGGCATCATCTTTTAATGATAATCGCGCTTGGATTCATTTATAAGCCGCTCGACACAATGTTAATTAGAGTCGCACCGAACTCGGCCCGTTCCTTCGAGACTAAGAGAATGATTCGACTTGATTTCAAGCGCTTCGAAAGGATCAGTACACGCGAGGTGGCAAATGCTATAAATCCCCAAAGGAAACCTTTGCAGCAGTGTATGGATTACCACAGACATCCATCACCCATTTTTCATTCGTAATTCAGAGATTTCATTGTTAGCGACTGCCACCTCTTTAGCTCTTTACGCGTAAGATCAAAAACTTATTGTGTTCATTTTTAGATGCAAGAATGGCAAAAAGTAAAAAAAATCTCGGGACAAGTCGATATGTACTACCCGACCTTTTTACAACCGCTGTAGTTCACGCGAACTGACAATGACTCTGTCTAAAATTATAAGGGGTGCGCAAAAGCTGCAAGAGTTATGGGGTGACGAGTCAGGCAACATGAGAGTTACAATTATTATATGGCTGCTTATAAAGAATCTTTGACACCCGAAATCCTCATAATGGTATGTTTTCCGTTTTGATTTATGCCGAAGAGGGTATGTAAACCACGTCTTCTATATACTGAAATAAAAGCTTTTGAATCGTGATTAAAATCGAAGTAACTTGGAAAAATAATGATTCTCGATAACCAGTTGATGTTACGTAATTTTCTGCATTTAAGTGAGAATAATTAGACGAAAACTAATTTTTTTTTCAACAAACGTTGAGTATAAAATTAGAATCATATTTTAGATGAAGTTCAGTGATATGAACCTTTATTAACGAGGAAAACTATTATAAATCATAAGAGAATTATTTACCCCGCATGAAAAAAATTGACTTGATATTTTCGTACTGAAAGTATCATTTGGTTATAAAATTATCATTTGGTAGGGTACTTGGCCCAGTGATTGACTAATTTCGACCAGTAACAAATAATGTAAATAATAGTGTAAATGGACACTTTTAGATATGCAATAATTGTACTTTTTTCTTGTGATTTTTTGATCGGACATTGAAAACAAAACATTCACTGTTCGTTGAAGAATTGAATTGAGTTCATAAAAATATTTTTAATAGTTTTTGATAACATATTTTCTAAAATGATCATTCACCTGTTCCCGGTTGAACACTGGTACGTCTACCCAATGACAAATAAGATTAGTTATTGCGTTAAGTCGAAACCAACAGCACTTTCAATATAATTAGCAGCTAGCAGCTAGCAGCTAAAGTGAAGTCAAAATCCATGAACATACATTTATTACTGGGGCTTTCTTTTTCGCAGTTTGGGCCTATTTACTATTGGCCCCCAAAG